ATGGCCATCCCTGTGATGCCATATTTACTGTTTTTAATAAGAATTTTATGATCCACTGCATCGAATGCTTTTTTAAAATCAACAAAGATACTTATGAGTTTTTTTGTCAATGGCTTCTGATATTTCTTCTGTAAATTCCATTAATGCCATGGATGTTGAATGATTTGTTCTAAAACCATAATGACTGTCATTTAATATATCTTCTTTGATCAGGAATCGGTCCAACCTAGCAATATATAATTTTTCTAGTATTTTTGAGAATTGTGACATTAAAGATATTGGTCTATAGTTGGAAAAGATATGTTTGTCTCCACTTTTATGAAGTGGTATGACTTTTGCAATTTTCATCCTGTTAGGAAATGTCCCTGTTGCAAAAGATAAATTACATATGTAAGTCAATGGATGAATAATACTTTCTATTATATTTTTTATTACTGTTATGTCTAAACCATCACAGTCCTTCTTTTATTGATGCATTTATTGATAATATTTCTTATTTCATCACTACTTACTGGACTTAAATATATACTGTTTTTAATGCTTTTGATATTCTCGCCTGTACTATAATTAGTTCTTTTTGGAATGTTTTTTGCCAAGTCAGGTCCCACATTAGTAAAAAACATTTTTAAATTCATTTACAATTTTACTGGTTTCACTAATTTCAGACTGTCCGTTTTGAAAATAATTTGGAACAGTTGAAGCTATTTTATTTCTTTTTATGACATTTATTGTTCCCCAAGTTGCACTAATATTATTTTTGTTTTCTTCTAATAAATTGCTATAATATTCCTTTTTTGTCTTTTGATTATATAAACTAATTTATTCTTATATTTTTTTGTATTTCCTTTCTGCTTCACTTGTTCTTAGTTTAAAAAAACATCTATATAATGTATTTTTTCTTACAGGCATCCAGCAGCCCTTTTGTCATCCATGGTTTGTTCATCCTCTTTTTGTTTGAGTTTTTGTTTTACAGTTTTTGTCATACTGACTACATATAATATTCCTATAAAGGAATTGTAAGCCACGTTTACATCATCCACATATACTTCTTCCCAGTTTTGTTGTTCCAGATCGCTTTTTAGTGCATCTATAGCGTTTTGTGACCTGTCCCTTATAAGTTTTTCCATTTTCTGTTGATTTTTGATCAGGTGATTTTTATAGACTGTGAAAATTGGCAGATAATCACTGATATCAATCAATACTATTCCACTTCTCTCTATCCCCTCTGAAGCATTAGTAAATATATTATCTATAATTGTTGAGCTATGCGCATCCATTCTTGTTGGTTTGGTTATCAGTGGAAACAGACCCAGTAGATGCATTGAATTTATGAAGTCGTTTGCTGTCTTTGAATTGTTTACATTTTCCAGATCAACATTAAAGTCCCCACAGAGAACTACATCAAGGGCAGGGTCATTGCAGCTAACTATCAGGAGATTTTGGAGCACTTAATGCGTACATCTGCTGAAAAGCTTTATGGAGATGAAGATTTCATTTTTCAGCACGACCTGGCACCTGCTCACAGTGCCAAAACCACTGGTAAATGGTTTACTGACCATGGTATTACTGGGCTCAATTGGCCTGCCAACTCTCCTGACCTGAACCCCATAGAGAATCTGTGGGACACTGTGAAGAGAAAGTTGAGAGACGCAAGACCCAACACTCTGGATGAGCTTAAGGCCGCTATCAAAGCATCCTGGGCCTCGAGAACACCTCAGCAGAGCCACAGGCTGATTGCCTCCATGTCACGCCGCATTGAAGCAGTCATTTCTGCAAAAGGATTCCCGACCAAGTATTGAGTGCATAACTGAACATAGTTATTTGAAGGTTGACTTTTTTGTATTAAAACACTTTTCTTTTATTGGTCGCATGAAATATGCTAATTATTTGAGATAGGAATTTTGGGTTTTCATGAGCTGTATGCCAAAATCATCAATATTAGAAACAATAAAAGGCTTGAACTACTTCAGTTGTGTGTAATGAATCTAATATATATGATAGTCTAATGTTTATCAGTACATTACAATGATGAACTTTATCACAATATGCTAATTTTTGAGAAGGACCTGTATTTGTCTCTCAAACATCTGGTTCCAACCTTTGGGTCTCCTGGTGGCTAATCAGGACACGCTTCCTACACCTGCCTGATTCAGGTAACGCCCAACACCTGAGGACCTTCACACAGGGCTTGTTCGAGTTGAGCAGCGCCTCGCCTGGAAAACAGATGAAAGCAGACGGACGCAGCAGGGGGAGTGGCTGAAAGCCGGCGTTTAAGTCGGACAGATTTCCCTACATGTGTAGCTCGGGGGTGACGATGGATGAAGATATCGCATTAGAGTTCATACTTGTTTAACTGTTTATTTTAATTCTGGTGCCTGTTAGCAACTGGAACATCCTCACATGCTTGTGGATATCATAAAATACATATGGAGACATGACTGTAATAATAAGTAAAGGTTATCAGCTGTAGAGGTTTAGTGTGCTCATAGGAAACGTGACAAAAGAACACAAAACACATTTCTCTTTATGGCCTATATAGTTGTCATCATCAACGTTACATGATTTTCAGAATACATGTGACCAACTAACATTTCATGTTCTACCACCGGATGTTTGGATCAAAATATGAACCAATCAGATCTTAGATCAGGTGAGAGCCAGGCGTTTCCCGTCATCCTCTAGGTTTTGCAGCCAAGGGAGAGCAACTGCAGCGCCATGCTCCAAAATCTGCGGCCGCCTTGATCTCACGAGGTTATCGTTGCCTACGTATGCATGACGTCAGAGCAAGTCGGACACAAATCTAACCGGCATGCACTGCACGACGATCACCGGTGATCTAATCTGCACAGAACTGGCTCATCTGGAACACGGCCACAGTCCCTGTCTCGTTGCTGTGTTCATGTTCGGCTGGTGTTTTGTTCCTTCACTCATTCAACGACCAACTAATCTTCACACCTGTTGTTTTATCTGCTTCATTGAGCTTTGATGATTTCTTCTGTTGTTAAGGTTACCTGAGCAGGTAGGCAACACATCTGTGGACATAAAAGTTGCTACAGCAATTCCACAAATGAAGTCTTATTTCAGAGAAAGTCTGAGCTCCATTTAGAAATTCAGGTTGAAGTCTCTTTTTTTATGATTTTATGCACCATTTTCATGGAGTTTGTGGCTAAAAAATAAGCTGCATGAAACTCAAGGGCCGCTCCAAAGTGACCTAATGGCAGTTTGAACGCTCATTTCTGATCCCTTTGTGTAGGACTGCTTCAAACATCACCACGGCCTAAAAGCTCCTCACACGGCTTCATGCTGGTGTGGTTTTTAGACAGAATGTACACTAGGGGGCAGTGCAGAGCTCACTGTCCATACTGACCTCTACTCCCTGTTTGAGTCCAACCTTTGGAAGTTCTCTTTGACCTGGTGAGGTTGCATCACAGAGGCCCAATCCCAGCACTCGCCCTGCGCTCTTCAGCAGCGTGCACTAGGAGGAGGCACGCTGTAAGGCTTCGAGTGCGAGGTACAAGTGGGCACATATTTACCGAACAGAGATGGGGAGCGTTGCATCATCGATCACAACGCGTGCCGCATCATCGATCACAACGCGTGCCGGGGTGCTGGTCGCTGTGATACTTTTTTCAAAAACCTTTATTAACAAATTTCAAACCAACAACCAATGATTAGAAATAAATTTACATTGATCGCTGCGCTTGTCTGAAAACTTCAGAGCATCAACTAGTCGTCGTAAAACGAACGACTTTCATTAAAAAATACTTTCAGAAAAGGAACTTGAGCGTTTTCTCCTGCAGAAATGGATTGTGGGTAATTCTCTTCGCTCAAGTCCACATCGATGCACTGAAAACAAATGAATGATAATAAATGTGCTTCAGAGATCAAGCCTAAAAGCCTTTTATCATAAATAAAAACATCAGATATTCCTTACTCACAAAGAGTTGGTCAGGTGCACCACCGCACCTGTACAGCGCCTGGTGGCATCAGCAGTGACTTGTGGCACGCGGGGTCAAAAGCATCTGACCTCCTACATGTCAGCATGAGTTACTGCCATCTTGAAGTAAAACCTCCAACGCCCTGGTTTTACATAGGTTTGGACCTAATTAGCCCTTTAACTATGTGATGTCACAGCTTCCTGTTCCAGTCATTTTAATGAACGGCACTGCAGTTACCTGGAGCATGTGAGGATGTCGGTCTAAAAGCTGAATATGATCACATGATTCCACTTCTACATTTATTATCTAGGGTCCTTCATGGCCCTTGTTGTTCCAGATGAATAAAAATGCTAAAACAGAAACTCAGCTGGGTTTTCTTGATGAGGAAGTAAAGTTCAGGACTCCATGGGCTGATAAACAAAGTTGTTGTAGAACTTTGATGATTTTCAAACCCGTTTCACTAAAATCTGCTTTAGAATAAAATCAGATGATCTGTTGTAGATGTTAGGAGCTGTTGGACATCAGGACAGACCCTCCATTTCTCCACACTAAGGCTGTTCGGACTGTTGCAGGAAGACTACCCACTGGTGCCTGGTTTCATGAGAAACTCTCTAAAGAAGTTTAACGTGAAAACGGGAACCGCTTCACCAGCCGGGTCTGTTGCACGGAAAGCCAGAGGGACCAGAGCTGCTTAGGTTTCACCGCGAAGACCAAACCAGGCGTCATCACAGCCGGTCAGCTCCGTGGAGGCTGATCTGCGTCTTCCAGGCTGGACCTCAGGAGATTTACTCCTCAGCACGCGGACTCGTCTCTGGAGCGCTTCTGGACGGCTGGACGAGGAGCTCTGACTGGCTGAAGGACGAGCCCAAGTAAAAGTTCATGGGAACTTTTTAGGCGCTTGACTGGTTTACGCAGCGGGATCCCGGTGTGGTGGGGCTGCAGGCAGGTGGCCGGGACACCGGAACTCCATCTGCCGTTCGGTTCCGACCATAGACTGTACATACCGACCCTTTGGAACCTGGATGACGTCATGTAAAGCAGAAAAGTGCCATTAAAGTCACGATGGGAGCGCTGGGTTTCCTCTGCGTCACGGTCCTGCTGCTGGAGTCCGCCCGGAGCTATAGAACCTGTCCGGACCTGATCGTGGAGAGCTGCCGCTGCGCAGCGGAGAGGTCCGCGCCGCGGAGCAGGCAGCGCGTCCGCGTCGTGTGTGTGGATGTGGAGCTGACGGACACCCTGCCGCCCAGCTTCCTGCCCAACAGGACCGTTTCTCTGTGAGTAAAACGAGCACCGGAACCGGCGAGTCAACCCGGTAAAACACACCGTTTAGTCCCTGTTGTCGCTGAAATACTCATCAGGAAGTCAATCCGGAAGTTGATCCCGTTCAGCACACCTGAGTTGAGGTCAGGGCGCATGTTTAGTTTCAGACACTAAAATAAAACCAGAGTAAAACAGGTGAGAGACTCAACACAACGTAATCAACCGATTCTGGCTCCTGATTGGAGGAAACCAAAGTGATGACTAGACAGGGCTGGGGCTGGTGAGCAGCACCGTGGCCCTGCAGCAACAAGGTCCTGGGTTCAAATCCCGTTAGCTTGTTCTTCCTGTGCATGCATGGGTTCCCCCCAGGTTCCTCCCACAGCCCAGATATGACTGTTGGTCCTAAGCTGTGTGCATCTATGGTGGCTTGTCCTGAGTCTCAGCATTGTCCTGCTGTGAACTGGCAACTTGCTTTTAACAAGGATACATCACATTTTCCTTAAGAGAAGCAAAAGCAGCCAACGTCACTGAACTGATAGACCAATCAGGAGGTAGCAGCTCAGCTCTCTGGTCTCACATCAACAAAGAGAAGACAGGACTGACTCAATGGAACGTTAACGGACACATTACAACAACGGCAAAAGCTCTAAACAACTACTTCATTAGTTCAGTAGAAGAGTTGGCGTCTAATTTCAAACCTCACGGAGATCCCAGCCTCTGAGTCAGCAGACCCTTTCCCTCTCAGCAGGAATGATGCGAGTGAACCCCAGCACTAAAATATTCCAAAGACACATTTGGTATGGATAAAACATCGCTCTTGTAAACCCTTAGAAATGTATCATTTACAAAAGGCCAACTTGATAGGACTCATAACTGCAATCGTGAAATCTGGCCACTGACCAAGTTAGTAGCTACAGACTAGAGCTGCTTCAAACCACTGTTTGAGTAGTCGACTAACCCTAACCCAGTACACATCATTAGCTGTGATCTGCTATGAGCTATCTAGTAATAAAGACCTGTTAATACAAATGCTGCAGTCAGGTGGAGGTAGGCACCTAAAACCATAATGACTTGTTTTCACAAGAGGCATGGTGGCAAGGTTGAAGTGCTTCATCTTCCAATCTTAACTCAGGAGATAGCAGGACACACCACAGTAGCCTCTGTAGCACGGCTGGTCCACACGTCAGCAGTCAGGGACCATCGGCAGCTCTGAGGGTCCGCTTTAGCGTAAAGATAAGATATTAAAGTTAGTTTGTTTACCAGATGAATCATTGTATTATATCACATAAAGTAGGTAAAGATTTAACACAAAGAAAGGCACTTAGAAGTTAAATGAATTATTAATATTATTATTGGTAGTATTTATGTTCTGTAGCTTCTGCAGATCCATCCCTCACATCAGAGAACATGAAAGAGGAAACGGCTGCATGCATAAATGTTTTCAGTCTAGGGCACAGATGACCATGATGTTATCTTAATGTGATCAAAGTCAGCCTCTGAAACGAAACACATTCGAGATGTTCTCAAGTCTCCATCGATTTACCTGTTTTCTCTTTACTAATATCAAACTGACAAAGATTCAGTTCAGTTCACCTTTATTGTCTTTGCAACTTGTACAACGACGTTTTCTATGATCTGTGGGTGACAAATAAACTAAAAAGCTTAAAAAAATTTAAAAATCCCCCCTTTTCTCCACTGCCACCTTACCGTGGTGGCGGTGTTTAGTGTCCCAATGATCTAGGAGGTAAGTTGTCTGAGGCTTTATGCCTCTGGTAGGGTCACCCATGGCAAACAGGTCCTAGGTGAGGATCAGACAAAGAGAAGCCCAAAGACATCTTAAGATGAATTATATAAATGGACACAGTGCCCCCTATCCCGAACGCAGGTCACCGGGGCCCCCCTCTGGAGCCAGACCTGGAGGAGGGACATGTCAGCGGGTGCCTGGTGGCCGGGCTTTCACCCATGGAGCCTGACTAGTCACAACCCGAAGAGGAAACTGGGTCTCCCTCTCTATGGGCTCACCATTTGCGGGTAGGGCTAAAGGGGTCGGGTGATAGGTTGCAGCCGAAGGCAGAGACTGTGGTGGTCTGATCCTTGGCTACAAAAGCTGGAGTTCGGTATGTGGAATGTCACCTCTGGTGGAGAAGGAGCCTGAGGCGGTGTGCCTACGTGTGGGGGGACAGGATCTGACTGTGGCCTGTGCTTATGCACCAAACTACAGCTCAGACTACCCACCCTGTTTGGAGACCTTGGAGGAGGTGCTGGAGAGCGCTCCTTCTGGTGACTCCCTCGTTCTCCTGGGGGACTTTAGCGCTCATGTTGGCAACGACAGTGAGACCTGGAGAGGTGTGGTGGGCAGGAACAACCCCCCCGATCTGAATCTGAGCGGTGTTTTGATGTTGGACTTCTGTGCTCGTCATGCATTGTCCATAATGAACACCATTACACCATTCCTCACCATGGTGAGTTGGCTTCGATGGTGAGGGAGGATGCCGGTCAGACCTGGCAGGCCTAAACGTGTTGTGAGGGTCTGCTGGGAACGTCTGGCGGAGTCTCCTGTCAGAAGAAGTTTCAATTCCCACCTCTGACAGAACTTCCAAAAAGTTCTGGGGGAGGCGGGGAGTGGGCCCTGTTCAATGCTTCCATTGTCGAGGCAACTGACTGGAGCTGTGGCTGCAGAGTCGTTGGTGCCTGTCGTGGCGGCAACCCCCAAACCTGCTGGTGGACGCCAGTGGTTAGGGATGCTGTCAAGCTGAAGAAAGAGTCCTACAGGGTCTTTTTGGCTTGTGGGACTCGATGGGCAGTTCCACTGGACTGGCAGACTGGGGTAGTGGTCTCCAACTACAGAGGGATCAAACTACTGAGCCTCCCTGGTAAGGACTATTCAGGAGCTCTGGAGAGGAGGGTCAGACAGATCGTTGAACTTTATAGTGCTTACACACTAGCGTCGGCACATTTGGGGTTCGGTCGAGCTAGATGGCGTGAGGTCAGTCTCGGATGGGAGGAACAGTGCTCACATATAAATCTGAAGGACTTCTCAGGATTGAGGAAATCCCCGAGCCTGTGGGTGGAGTTTAATACGCGCTGCAAGTCCGCCGTGTCCTCCATAATCAGGTAAACAAAGGCGGACATGAGCTGTGCTGCTTCTGGAGACTCTGAACAACATTAGCTTATTAATTTGCTGTGTGTGTTCTCATAAGCTTGTGCCTCACACACACACACACACACACACACACACACACACACACACACACACACACACACACACACACACACACACACACACACACACACACATACACACACACACACACACACACACACACACACACACACGAACATCAGCACTCTAAAACACTTTTTGTAAGATGGCTGCTTGTGTTCATAAAAACAAGCCTTTAATCCAGGGGTGTCCAACTCAAATTCCCACCGGGCAAAAATGAAAAACTGGGACGAAGTCGCGGGTCAAACTTTTTTTGAAAGTGACACAAATGTGCAGATTTTCCTTTATCTACAGATACGAACGGTTGAACCTTTTCATTTGGAAAAGTAACACTGAATGTGGAATAACCACCTTACACACAAGCAAGTCCATTTTAAATAAAGCACATCGGTGGTATTCGTTACTTATGACTCAATTTTTAAACATTTTAGTCCTTCAAATCTGTACATATTCAGCATTTCTTCTTATTTTTATCTTTTGAATCTTTTAGGTGTCTCTATATTGTTTTCTTGTTTATTCTTTATTTTGGACTCTCCTTTGTTGCTCCTGTGATGAATGTTATTGCTGCTGTGACACCAAGCTTTGCCCACTGAGGGACAATAAAGGGATTTTTTAATTTTATTTCTATTCTATCTGTATTCTGTCCTGTTTTAAAGTAGGTTTAATTTATTTTCACAGACCAACAACACAAATAAAAAAATGTCATTCTCTTAAATGAAAATGCAATATCTCACCTATTTACTTTCATGCTTTGAAGCAGAAAAGGTTAATAAAAGCAAAATAATTCAGTCCCAGTTTTCTCCACTCTGGTTTCCTGTGATGCTCACCTCTTCCACCAGACCTGCACCTGTGGGGTTGGGCTCTGAGCTGAGGAAGGAGTTCATCAGTGAGAAACAGTTGCTCACACAAGTTTGTGCTGCTGGACATGGAGAGCATCTGGACCACACAGTTGTGTCGGGGAGGGGGATCAAAGCTGCAGCAGCCACAGAGTCATGTGACTTGAGTGTGTCGCTAAACTGGAGTTAAATCATCTGGGTCTGGAAGTTGGTCGGTGTACTTGTCGCGTGCCCGTCCCATTTACCGGTTCCTTTAAAACCCAGTTCCGTTAGAACTTATGAGACGGTGCATCCATCAGGGTTCGAGGGGATGTCGGCGAGTATAATTGTACTAGATCCTGGATTGGACCATCTAATTAGAATCTTGTCTTTTATTTTAAAGGTGAAATGACTTGCACGAATAGCCAGCCCCAGAGTACTACACTTCTTTTAAACTCGTTACCTTTTGGTTAAGATACTAGAGAGAAGTCTGGAGGCAAGCCAAGCCTCTCAGCAATTGTTTGGATTACCCGGAATTAATTGCGCCTCTAACAGCTTATGTGGGAGGTTGGTAACTATAAAATGATTTATGCTAGTTGATCAGGCTATCATAAGTTTATCAATTTATTTATTAATCCAACCTTCCAGCTGATTAGAGACTTTTTCAACCTGCAATCAGAGCCAAAATAACCTCGAATATTTTGCTTTTATCGCCCTTAAGACAACTCGTTACTCGCAAGGAGGGGGAAGTTAAAACTTCCCTTATCTTAAGGTTTCTTTATATTATTCTGTTATAAACTGTAAAGTAAGTCCTGATAATTCAGAGACCGATCTTCGACATGCTTACCTCTGTGCAATTATGGTCAGGGCCCCAAACGTGAAGCTTTAGAGAAAACCTGAAAGAATCAGGATAATGTTTCTTTTTCAAAAAAGTTTTATTACAAAATCAAAATACAAAAAATGGGTAAAGTGAAAA